TCCAAATTGGTGAAGTGGAATGAAAAAAATTACTTGTTTCAAAAAACTATAAAAAATAAATAACTGAAAAGTGGTGCGTGCATATGTATTCACCCCCTTTGCTATGAAGCCCCTAAATAAGATCTGGTGCAACCAATTACCTTCAGAAGTCACATAATTAGTTAAATAAAGTCCACCTGTGTGCAATCTAAGTGTCACATGATCTATCACATGATCTCAGTATATATACACCTGTTCTGAAAGGCCCCAGAGTCTGCAACACCACTAAGCAAGGGGCACCACCAAGCAAGCGGCACCATGAAGACCAAGGATCTCTCCAAACAGGTCAGGGACAAAGTTGTGGAGAAGTACAGATCAGGGTTGGGTTATAAAAAAAAATATCTGAAACTTTGAACATCCCACGGAGCACCATCAAATCCATTATAATTTTTTTAAAAGAATATGGCACCACAACAAACCTGCCAAGAGAGGGCCGCCCACCAAAACTCACGGACCAGGCAAGGAGGCCATTAATCAGAGAGGCAACAAAGAGACCAAAGATAACCAGAAGGAGCTGCAAAGCTCCACAGCGGAGATTGGAGTATCTGTCCATAGGACCACTTTAAGCCGTACACTCCACAGAGCTGGGCTTTACGGAAGAGTGGCCAGAAAAAAGCAATTGCTTAAAGAAAAAAATATGCAAACACGTTTGGTGTTCACCAAAAGGCATGTGGGAGACTCCCCAAACATATGGAAGAAGGTACTCTGGTCAGATGAGACTAAAATTGAGCTTTTTGGCCATCAAGGAAAATGCGATGTCTGGCGCAAACCCAACACCTCTCATCACCCCGAGAACACCATCCCCATAGTGAAGCATGGTGGTGGCAGCATCATGCTGTGGGGATGTTTTTCATCGGCAGGGACTGGGAAGCTGGTCAGAATTCAAGGAATGATGGATGCCGCTAAATACAGGGAAATTCTTGAGGGAAACCTGTTTCAGTCTTCCAGAGATTTGAGACTGGGACGGAGGTTCACCTTCCAGCAGGACAATGACCCTAAGCATAGCGCTAAAGCAACACTTGAGTGGTTTAAGGGGAAACATTTAAATGTCTTGGAATGGCCTAGTCAAAGCCCAGACCTCAATCCAATTGAGAATCTGTGGTATGACTTAAAGATTGCTGTACACCAGCGGAACCCATCCAACTTGAAGGAGCTGGAGCAGTTTTGCCTTGAAGAATGGGCAGAAATCCCACTGGCTAGATGTGCCAAGTTTATATAGACATACCCCAAGAGACTTGCAGATGTAATTGCTGCAAAATGTGGCTCTACAAAGTATTGACTTTGGGGGGGGGGGGGGTGAATAGTAATGCACGCTCAAGTTTTCTGTGTTATTTCTTGTTTGTTTCACAATAAAAAATATTTTGCATCTTCAAAGTGGTAGGCATGTTGTGTAAATGAAATGATACAAACCCCCCACAAATCCATTCTAATTTGAGGTTGTAAGGCAACAAAATAGGAAAAATGCCAAGGGGGGTGAATACCTTGGCAAGGCACTCCTAGCCCTGGAAGTGAGAGCCTTCGGGCTTGGTGCATCCCCCAAAAACACTGTGCACTATGGGAGTCTCTCTCTCTCTCTCTCTCTCTCTCTCTCTCTCTCATCAGCTGGGATTCTGATAAGCTCAGTACAGATGGGAATAGCAGAGCCTCAGAAGGAGAACTGGGGTCTGATTGGCAGTGACAGTATGAACACAATGACTGGGTCAGACACATTGCTGGAGAAGAGAAGAGAAGCCAACACTCCCATGTATGGACCTGATCACTCCTCAACAAGACTGTACAGAACTCCTCAGAAACAAACCGCATGATGCAGTCACTGACTGGATAGATAAAGCAATCATTTACCTTTCAGTAATGAACAAGATGCTCAATTAGCCTAGCTACAACGTTACAGTACTCTATGAACGCTCCAGTGAAGCAGCTGGAGGCACCCCTCAGCCTTTCACCTGTTCCACAGCCAGCGGGGTGGGGTGGGGTGAGAATGGCGGTGTTACTTACATAGTCAATGTTGTATTTTTTTATTCTCCATTCGACATGACGCAGTGACATCATCGTCTGACCCCTGACCTCTCTGGGCTGGTCCAGATGTTTCCAGTGGGGGGTTAGCTGTTAGCGGAGCTCTTAGCTGAGCTAAACTAAACAGACGTGTCAGCAGAGCTCTGCTCTCCCAGGCCAGGGCCAGGCTGCAGGGGTCCTACAGGGCCAGGGCTCTCATCTGGCCGACATCCCAGTACTATAGCCTCCAGGGAACAACTAGGCTACACATATATGCTTAAAAAATACAGGAGCTTACTTCCAGAAAATAATTTCATACAAATATTATAGATTTGGTTATTCTATGTTATTCATTTTCAAATCCACAGAGAACATTCCCATTTAAAAGTGACCAGGCTAGAACACTGTTAATTAATACGACATTCAATTCAATACCTGAATTGGCTTAAATTGAACTAGATGGCCATGTGATGAGAGGGATGAGAGCAAGCCGGGTGGAGAGGGAGGAGAGTGTGATGTAGCTAAGCAGTTTCCCCTCCTGAAAGAGTGGTTACGCTGTTAAACAAGTGTGAGGTTAACCTCTAATTACAGGGTGCTCCCTCCCAAAGTCTCTACAGTGATACAGATATGTATTTATGCTCCGCCTCGCTGTGGGGCCCGGATCGTATTCTGCTCGGATTGAGGCAAACATGCAGAACATTGTGGGAAGAAAACATAGCCCCCAGACCTGGAGACACATACGCTCGTTACCGATCGCTAACGGCAGCCATGTTGGTCATGTCCACACCACTGACCCTGACACCAAAACTCCGCTCACAGTACAGTTGACACTAAGGGAAACCAGGAAAAACAACACCACAACGCTGTCAAACATAACAGTCTCCTAGCCCTGGAAGATAGATATACAGCTGTAATAACCCTGTCAGAGTGGTATTGGTTGTGAATCTGTGCTTCCTGTGTACACGTGTGTCTGCTACAGACAGAGTCCCTTCGGTCAACAGGCCTGGCTCTGGTGCACACTGACATCCAGCTCAGGTGTCCCTGCTGCTTCTCTGATAGGTCAGAGGCCTGGGAAATCAATCCATTCTGGCCAATAATCATACATGTGTGAAAAGCTGTAATCACTGCATTCTCTTCTGGTCACTTTGGTTTGGGTTTAATACCCATCAGAGTGGGTAGTATGACACACTAGCATAGGGGCAATTCCACGGTAACAGAATGATGGCAAAGTTAAACAAACCATCCAACTATTTTTGTACACATTTACTTGAAGAACTATGCAGATCATTCTGTTACCAAACTTTGCATCTGCACTGTTGTTCAAGTAAATGTGTTTTTACAAAATGTTCACTACAATTAGTTAAAAGTAGTCCTTTTGCATAGACTTGTATGGTTTGTTTAACTTTGCAATCATTGGTTTTTGTCTCAGCATAATTCTGTTAGAGTGGAATTGCCCGTAGGCTAATGTAGATTTAAAGTAAAAATACAACTGTCATCTTTGAATGTCAAAATTCAATAACACAAACACTGCTGATGCACATAACTACAGCAGTGATGCAATAGATATACAAATTAATTATTGTTTGGTTATCCTGCACATAAAGTACCCCTCTATAAGGACAGAAACATTGATCAAGTCAGTCTTCACTCAATCATCCCACATAATACACTAACCCTGCTGATACTGAAGCTGCCCCAGCCCCTCAGTGTATCATATCAACACACGCACACAAACACATATGACAGGCCCTGACCCAGCCCGGGACTGCTTTATGAATCACTTTCCTGATGGAGCACTGTGGTTGTACTGGGGAATACTCTGCAGCATAGACACACAACACCATGAGATACTGTATATGATGCATGGGTCCCTCCTATGGATCATCATGCTCCTCTTCTCATCCAGCTGAACACAGCCGTGTCCTGTCCCCCAGCCAAGGATAAGACCAAGGATAAGACCCTGGGCCCTGTACGTGGGTGTCTGTCTGTCTGTCTGTCTGTCTATCTCCATCCTGCCTATGTACTCATCCAGAGTCCACCTCTTCATCCAAGTCCATTTGTCATCAGTACCTCTGCTTGTTGTTCTAGCGGAGGCCACCAGGCTTGTTCTCAGATATACACCAGGAGCTGTCGAGAAGCACCTGCCAAACTGCATCCCACTGGGAGTGTGTATGAGGGGAGTGTGTGCATACGTGCGTGTGTGTGAGGGGAGTGTGTGCATACGTGCGTGTGTGTGAGGGGAGAGCACAGCACACATAGTCCTGCCAAACACATCAACCAGAGAGAGATTAATGACAAAAAGAGAGGGAGAGCCTACATAAACATTTATCATAAACTCTCATCTCCAACCAAGGCAAAACAAGGCCAATGTGAGGGTTCTGACAGAGACAGACACAGTAAACTAGTCTCTACAACGTCATGTAGACTGAGTGGCGGGGCATGTGTCTGTATCATGATGTGTGTGGTCATGTTATAAACCACATCCACTGACAGGGAGGACTTCATGTTCATGACACAGAAAACGATCAAACAGTTTAGCACTGACTTGAGTCTGTTAAACGAGTTAGGCTATGTGCAAGGCCATCCCAATGTGTAGGCTACTACAACAAGCTAAACCAATGACGTGCGTACTAATAGTTGAGTCACTCAAAGTTGAGTTCAGAATATGAGTAAGTCAGTGAGGGACACGTTTTTGCAAATTCCATCATTGTAACTTTGCAATTCCATTCTATGATTTATCTAATGATGCCTTTTTATTATGTTTCTGATCTCATTCTATTGGCCTACTTAGTGCTATAGGGCTACTGGCATGTGTGGTTTCTGATGCTCTTTCAACATGGATAGCTTCATGTCTACTCCCTCAACAAATATGTCAGTACACATGGTTCGTGGAGTATAAACGGGGGGTGCTAATCTAGGTGGTGACGGTGAGTTAGATCAGGCTAACTGCTCCAGTGGGGGGTGGATTATCAGATGGAGCTGGTCCCAGCAGGGTAGTGGTTCTAAGGGAAACGAGGAGGTTGTAGTTTGAAGGTTGGTTCCTTCCTGCCTGGTAGGAGCAGCATACAACAGCTGTGTCTCCTCTCCCTCAGCCTGTCTGCACGGCCAAAACCAGCTCCAAATATGTGCCGACACCAGATACCTCACCCCACACACACACCTCTTCTTTTTATATTCTCCCTCCCTCCCTCTCTTGCTCGCTCTCCACCTTTGTCTCCGTCCCCCACACACACACACTACACGGACCTCTACACACACGAACAGGTCAGGCCAAAGGTCAAACACACAAAGGTCAACAGGGCCCATTATATCTGCCAGGCCTCCCTGCTACTCACTGATCCCATTATGTGAATAAACAGAGCAATGCAGAAGCAGATGTGAATCCATAGGATTCCATCTTCTAAACAACACCCAGTTACATTTACCCGCACTTACATGTGTACCAGTCTCATCTCCCTTTTTGTTTGGGGGTATTTGAGGAGTATTTTGTGTAGATATTGATGTTAGTGAGGGTAACCCTGGACGAGATATACAGTCCAACCCAGTATTAAACAACAGACTGTGCCCATGTGTCCAGGTCAGAGAGAGGGAGGGAGGAAGCCTCTATTCCGTCACACATGCAGAGTAAATCTTCCATTTTGATTTTCCCTCTCTCCATCTGTGCGAGTCAGATGAGGTTGTTTAAGTGAGAATGCCAGAGAAGCCGGTGTTTGGAGGATATATTGGCACGGGTGTTGTTAGGCCCAAGACGAAGTCGTGCCAATATATCCTCCAAACACTGGCTTCGAGGGCATTATCACTTTTATACAACGGGTTACCGACATATTCAAATAATGATTTTGATGAATGTATTCATACTATTTCATCCTTCCATGAGATATTGTCCCGACACAAATCTAGGGTTGCTACTTGCTACCCAAGCTGGCAGGTCATTCATTATATCAGTTAGGTTGCCAGAGATGCGACCCAGTCATGAAGTCTTTTTGTTCTATATCTTTGTTCTAGATCCAGTCGTTCGTTCTAAATGTTCCGTTGCCAGTTCTTATCCCTTGCTTGCTAGCTAGCCAAATACGGCTAACTCACAGTCAAACAGTGCAGCCAGAATAACAGCAAAGTGGCTGCATTTGCTAAAGCTGTTCTAGTGCTCTAGTGACATTTATTTGGATACATCCATAACAATGAGCTAATGATGCGCGATTTCGCCTGGCATAAAACATTTGCTCTCTCGCCAGGACACTGTTCAGAGGAGCTAGCCAACTACACAGCTAACACAATCACTTCAAACTGAAACTGTAAAGACAGCAAACTAGCTGCATTTCGTTTTGTTTGACCTGTTTTTCTATTGAAATGTCTTTGTATATATCCATACAAATTATGCTGATTCATGATTTTGACTGGCTGAGAAAAGCTGTCTGCCTGTCTGTCTCATCCCGACACGTTCATTACTCTGGGACAACTGGAGATCGAATTTCAATATTGAAACAATGTTGCAAATGTCGGAGAGACAGACTGCAAGGTTTATACAAATCTCTACTGTTGAAAACCAAACGCTAGTCTAAAAGGGCGGCAGGTAGCTTAGTGGTTAAGAGCGTAGTGCCAGTAACCGAAAGGTCGCTGGTTCTAATCCCCGAGCCGACTAGGTGAAAAATCTGTCGATGTGCCCTTGAGCAAGGCACTTAACCCTAATTGCTCGTGTAAGTCGCTCTGGATAAGAGTGTCTGCTAAATGACTAAAATGTAAAAGAAATGGGAGATAATGTCTAGACGCTTTTTATATAATGTTTAGAAATTGCCTGGCTGGGCTGATGAGACAGTGGATTGCACAGTGCGATGGAAGAGTAAATAGGCATTTTAACGTCATATCCGGTGGTAACTTGTGGAATAGAAACCGTCTGGAACGGTTTCTTTTGCCCCTTTTGCCCTCATAACAGCCTCAATTCGTCGGGACATGGACTCTACAAGGTGTCGAAAGCATTCCACAGGGATGCTGGCCCATGTTGACTCCAATGCTTCCCACAGTTGTGTCAAGTTGGCTGGATGTCCTTTGGGTGGTGGACCATTCTTGATACACACGGGAAACTGTTGAGCGTGAAAAACACAGCACTGTTGCAGTTCTTGACACACTCAAACCGGTGCGCCTGGCACCTACTACCATACCCCGTTCAAAGGCACTTACATATTTTGTCTTGCCAATTCACCCTCTGAATGGCACACATACACAATCCATGTCTCAGTTGTCTCAAGGCTTAACAATCCTTGAACCTGTCTCCTACCCTTCATCTACACTGCTTGAAGTGGATTTAACAAGTGACATCAATAAGGGATCATAGCTTTCACCTGGATAGTCTGTCATGGAAAGAGCAGATGTTCTTAATGTTTTGTATACTCAGTGTATAAGACCATTATTGGTGTACCAAATCAGACATGCACGCTTGCACACATGCATCAGAACACACACACACACTTTCCACTGTGACTGAGGCAGAGAAGGAAGGTAAACAACAGAGCAATTCAAACAAATTGGGCGTGGGGTTAGACCTGGGCCACAGGACCTCATGTCAACAGTGTTTGAGGGAGAAAAGGAGAGAGTGCTTGAGCGAGAGGGAAAGGAGAACAGAGAGGAGTTAATTTATATAGTCAAAGATGGCCTTTTACCTGTGCAGTTAAAGTGTATTTACTTTGGTGAGAATTTATAGTTACATATGAGTGCTTTAAGAGAGAGATATGCCCCAAGGGAGAGCAAGTCATTCTGGAGTCTCAGCCCAGGAGAGAGCGATGTGTTTGGTAAGACTGTGTTCTCTTCCTGAGCTGGCTGCCAGCTCCTTGTCTGCTGAGGGGGTGGGGGGAAAGAAAGAAAGAAAAGAAAAAAGAAGAGAGAAAAGAAAGAAAGAAAGAAAGAAAGAAAGAAGAAAGAAAGAAGAAGAAAGAAGACAAGAAAGAGCGATCATAGATAAGAGATAGAGAGTCGAGAGAGAGATCCGGCTCTATTCTAGCTACGTAGTCTCTCTACGCGCTCGCTCTCGCGCGTCCTCGCTCTCGTCTCTAGCCTGCCTTTTGCGTCTCATCCGCTCTCGTCTCTCTCTCCAGCGCGCCTCGATTGCTGTTTCCAGCCGTGTTATTGGGAGGAGGACCGGGGACACATAAATCATCAAGCTTTTGTTCCTGTCAAACAGACGCACCGAAGACAAGTCGCTCACTCTTTCTCACTCTCTGTCACGCTTTCTCTCCTACAGCAACTCCCTGGGAGACAAGAAGAGCCCACAGTTGGGTGAGAGAGAGGGAGAGAAAGAGGGGGAAGAGAGAGACATAGAGAGACAGAGAGAGAGAGAGAGAGAGAGTGATAGGAGTACTGAGTTGTGCTTGAGGGCTAGAGAGGATAATGCAGCTCCATCATTCCACCTTGTGAGAGCAATGACTGTCTGCTTCACTTACACAGCCCTCCTCAACGCAAACTAGCAAATAACTATCAAATAACATAATTGAAGTTCATTACTGAAAAAATAATTGAAGCAGTCTAGCTCAACTCCAAGATAAATTCTTATGTTTGAGGCCAGAGTATAAGGGCTCTCAATCAAACATTTTCACTATTGTCATGCAGAAAAAAGTCTATCAATATCATCAGGGTGATTGGTGCTCATAAATGTCATAACGCCAGTTTGGAGAGGAGAGGAAGGCGAGGGCAGAACATAGGATTCTGAGTGGAATTAGCTTCTTCTGCGCTCTAGTGGTGAACAAGAGCAATACACTGAAAAGCTGGTGAGGCGAGAGAACGTACCATAACCCACCCAAACTGGGAACATGCCAAAGTACATAAACAAAAGACCTAAGCAAGGCCTTAATGTACTCCCGAGTGGCGCAGTGGTCTAAGGCACTGCATTGCAGTGCTAGCTGTGCCACTAGAGATCCTGGTTTGAATCCAGGCTTTGTCGTAGCCGGCCGTGACCGGGAGACCCATGGGGCGGCGCACAATTGGCCCAGCGTCGTCCAGGGTAGGGGAGGGAATGGCCGGCAGGGATGTAGCTCAGTTGGTAGAGCATGGCGTTTGCAACGCCAGGATTGTGGGTTCATTTCCCACGGGGGGCCAGTATTAAAAAAGAATAATAACCACAAAAAAAAAAAACATGTAATGTATGCACTCACTAACTGTAAGTCGCTCTGGATAAGAGCGTCTGCTAAATGACTAAAATGTAAAATGTTAATGAAATGTTAAGCATTTACATAATTCTGATGGTGGTGATTTACTGGGCTTTATAATGATCTAAATGGACAACAAATGCAACTAACAGCCTAGTGCATAGGAAATGACTAAATGTAAATGAATCCAAACTAATTATTCCCCAGAACATGTCTTTGGATTTAAGTGCTTTCTTTTGGCACAGACAAAGCAAAATCACTTTGCTTGCATTTATGCATTTCTCATTTAGGCCTAGGGCCCTCAAACTCAACTCTGGACCTCGAAGCCAGTTCCACTGCATTTTTTCATTGTTCCCCTCTAATCAGGGACTGATTTAGACCTGGGACACCAGGTGGGTGCAATTAATTATCAGGTAGAACAGAAACCCAGCAGGCTCCGGACCTCGTACGGTAAGAGTTGAGTACCCCTGGCCTTGGGTATTTCATACTGGATCATCTGTCTGAAACTTAAATCCTACATCAGCTTTACAAAGATAAACAATGTCATAGTTAATTTAGGAAACTATAGATCTGAAGAGATAAATACATTAAGAGATGAATGTGCTACCTAACATTATCATGTCAGCTGTGAATCAGTCCTCCACCACTACCTACTGCTCTAACCCCTCGTCCTGGCCACAGCCACACTCCCTCCGGCCTCCTACAGTAACCTGTGATATCTCTGCCATCAGAAATCACTTCTGAAGGATCCTTAATGAATATACATCATGGAGAGGACCTAAATTAGGCGGCCGTGCTGGGGGAGCGCTGCTCGGGATAAACAAAGTTATCTTGACAGGGTCGCCGAGCAGGATGAGAAAATGAATTACCATCCTGCCGCACGTCAATGCCAATCGCGAGGAGGATCCTGCGCGCTCCTCTGCCCCACTCCCCGCCCGTTTCATCTGGCCCTTAGTATGCACACAGGCTGGGTGCCAGCCTCCAAATGTATTCATTTATTCACAGCCCCTTGGAGAAATCACAGAGCCTTGTTGTCCTTTTTATCCTCACTGTCCAGATGGAATTTGCGTGAATAACATCGGTTTAGTGAGGCAGAAAATAAGTACAGGCTAGCACAGCGGTAAGGGACAGTACCCACAACAGAGAGGGAAGAACAACTGTCACCCTCACATACAATTTCTCTTCCCCCCCTCTCGTGGTTTCTCTCTCATTCTATTGAAAATTAGAAAGAATAAAAAATCCTGTGGTGTGCAGCGTGCCTGAATCCATTACACATTATCATGCTCTGCAGTTGCAATTAACCAGCAGGTAATGAATCAGAGAGTGGGAGCAGACTGGTCGCTCCATTACAAAGGTGAGCCGTCATCAAGGGGACTGGTTCAATGTTCAATCCCTTCTTTTTTTCTCCTTGTTTTGTTTTGCATTTATAACATCCCTAATTACTTTAATTAATCAAGATATTCCATTAGAGGGAACCGGTCTCGGTTAAGTAATTGTGCAAAATGAAACCCAATAGTTCAGTGATTCCATCCACTCCCCTCTCTGCCCAGAGGGATTTAGAAGGCTTTCAGAGGAATAATGGGAGACAATACAACCGTCTTCCACACAGTTATAATGAATGAATCAATCCTGAATAGTCTCAGTCTACAAGTATACTACCTGACATGTTACAGGCTGCATACATACAAGTGTACTTGTACACCTGCAAAAGCATTTGAGGGACAAAAAACGATCAAGAGGAGTCCATGAAGCTGCCAATGATGTTTGATAGAGGCTAATGCAATGAGAAAGCTTTGATGTACTTTTAGTGGAGTCAGTGTAGAAGGGGTGTGTGTGGGAGACCAGACCTACCTCTCTGAGTACCGTACTCCTGTAGCCCCTGTACAAGCCTCTGACACCCTGCACAGAGACAAGATAGGTATTCAGACACACACCACACACACACAGTCTGGATACACACACATGCATGGAACATATGGAAAGAATGGAAAAACAAATATTGTAGTGTTGATGGGTCATGGTGTAGGCCTACCTCCTCTCTGAGGGTGGCCAGCAGCACCTGGTAGGTGTTGGAGGACAGCGAGGCCTGAGTCCTCTGTTTCACCACCTCAGTAGGCACCCTGATCAGACATGCCACCTAGGGGAGGAACATAGGACATTACAACACCCAGAACAGATCACACACGCTGACAAGTGTAAAGAACATTAAAACTCGTGAAACAGTCAAACTGATAAGGCAACAGATGAGAAATACAGTTGCTATCTATTCTCCTGTACTGTATGTAGCCTGTTTGCTTTAGATAAAGAGAAAACTGTAAAACAGTAAGCTGCCAGACGCCACAGTTGCCAAGCAGAAAATGACCTAGCAATTATACTGCGAGTAGACTACCTGGTGTTTCTATTAGTGTAGGCCTAGTGCTTCTGTAAGCTAATTAATGCCCCAGCACTGGCCTGTGTGACTAACAATTCAACCCTTAATCACATTGACACCTGAGCAGCAGGTAAAAAGGTCACTGTCACCGCCTCATTGCCCATCTGTGTCCTTCTCTGCAAAACACACATAGCCCTCCACCCCACCATCCTTCATACCTCACCCATACAAATTCCTACACAGCCCCCATGTCAACAGAAATATGGAGTGCAAACAATTCCTCAAGATAATGAATATTTATGACTGCTGCCTCCTGCTCCCTTAAGGTTGGGCTGCTCCGCTTGATTTCCCATTAATGCTGCAGCAGAGCGGAAATACCTGGGAGCACCGGTAACGGGAAGCAATCTCCCAGACCGAGGGAGGTGAGGAGCCCCCTGCGCTGCACCAGACTCCCTCCGGCACGAGATGGCTGTCGTTACTGTTGCAGCGGCAATCTCACTCCGCAAGGGGAGTCTGACACTGAGGTGACAGTGTAACCATGGAGATTACTGGTATGCTGGTTTGGCCATCCTCAGCTCTCAGCCCAGTCAGCCCTCTCTGGTCTCGGGCAGTCTAGCCAGGATGCAGCCCAGCTGCTAGGAGATCTCTCTATATTCCCCTCTTTCACCCCCACTGCACCCCTCTGCCAGAGCAGGTCATTACATGTAATGTATGTTTTGACTGCACATGGGGGATGGAGAGTAGAGAGAGGGTGACCACTGGTGACTGAGAGATGGAGAATTCCATTTGTCTGGGAACAGCCAGTCATTTTACAGTTCAAGTGAAATGAATAGAGAGCGACCAGTAGCTGACAACTTGTCTAAGATGATTTTCAAGGTCACCCAAGTACAGGAGACCAGCATGTGGTGAAGGTGGGTATGATGTAATTCTAACAGGTCCTGGAGAACTAACTGTTTCCACTTCATCTGAGGTTAGAATGACAATGCTTCTGACTTTGAAATGTTCTGTCAAACAAGAAACAAACCCCTGCTCCAGAACCTACATAGCAAAGGTGTCTAAATGTGAGTGTAGCCTTTCTCTGTGTCTTCAAAGGACAGTTTTCTCCCCCCAAAGCATGGTGCAAGAGTGCCCCCCAGTGGTGAGACAGAGCACCAGCTGCCATCTGTCCACTATACAACCTGACAGGATCCACTTCCAAGATCTAATTTACTCTTCCTTTGGCTGGGTTAACATTTATCATACATTGTATATCATGTTTCCCCACGTAATTCTCCAAAGGATCAGAATTATGCTGCTAAATGGAAAGAAAAGTGGCTATGACAAGTAATTCCTGACAATTGAATCTGGGGATGGGAGTGGTGGCGGGCGCTCTCACATCAGCTCACGGCAGGCTGCGGAATGAGACACAGATTATACCAAATAAATTAGGGACATTGTTTATTTGGGAGTAATTTGAGGACTGCTATGGGGAGAGTAAGGGAGAGTGAGTGTACATCCTCTGAACAGATCATTTCAGAGGAGGGTTTTAGGAGCATGTGTGTGAATGAGACCAGACCCATGAGTGATGGGCAGGGTGGAGGCAGATTTAGGTGTACCCCACTGGGTTGTCTGGGACTGGGTTGTTACCTCACGTTTAGAGGGAGGGGTGTGGGCGTGTGACAGACGTGTCCCCCCTCCTCACACCCCCCCCCCCCCCCCCCCCCCCCCCCCCCCACCCCCCCCACATCCCACAGACTGGCCTGGTAGGCTAATTGTATGATAAATCCACTGCCAGCGTATTTTACATTCCCTACGCAATTCATCTTTATTTACAAGCAATTTGGAGTGTGTGGCGTTAATTAGAGGCAGCGTCTGATCTGAGCCTGTGTATCCTCTGGCTTGCCTCCCTGCTTGGCTGCATGCTGCTGTAAATCCTAATGACGACGGCTTTCAAATTCCACGACGCCACCAAACAACAACCGACGAGCCCACACTCAATCACTGGGGAAACGCTTTGGAAGGAACAGGGGAAATTAACGAAGGCTCACCGCACCAATCAGCATGCAGGTAAATCAATCCAGGGCTTGAGTCGTTACCTCCCTCCCTCCTTCCCTCCAACCGGCTCATGGCCAGTCAATCCCCTGCCTACGATCCTGCTCCTGTGGCCAGTCTGCATGACAGACAAAGAGAGCCACAGAGCCACAGAGCCACAGGTAGAAGAACAGAAGGCTTAGAGACAATGGGCAAGACAGCAGATAAGACAACTTTGATTCATTTGTCGTTCAAAGTTTTTGGCAATGCCACTTTTAAAAGAACCCTCTGCCTTACTAACATAGAAAGAACTGGCATTGAAGCAACAGAGTGGAATCCACACATATGGAGCAGCCTCAGGCATGAGCAGAGAGAGACAGGCTAAATGTGATGTGGGATGAAATAACTCAAAACAGATGGAATAACTAAACAGGCCCATCTAAAAATGCAAATGTTGCAGCACTGGGGAGTTTGCAGTAAACACAGACCAACACAGTGACCAATTTGACCAGTGTAAGAGATAAGTAGTTCAGTAGTTCCTAGAGAGCAGCTTATCTTTTTCCAGAATCTCACTTCAGCCATCCCCAAACACACATTTCAGTCTAACTTTCATAAGACCATCAATGGCAATCCACACACACTGTCTGTCGCCACTGAAGTTATTTCAGAATCAGGAAGAAAACCAATAGAACATTCCGGATCATCGCTGATCACCTCAGCTGCCCAGCAGTATTTCCCACAGGAAGTCAGAATTCTATCAGAACATCCATCTCCTACAGGTCGTAATAACTGCATAAACATCAACTACATCTCTTCGCTCTGAAATCCTGCAAATCTGTTTTCTTTTGAACCTCTGAGGAGGCTCCTGGGTCGCAGTCCTGCAGAAACACATCAGTGACAGACGGCAATGGGCAATTTCTACACATGACGATCAACAGACACAGGCTGGATAGTCATATTAGATATGGCTGAGCCAATCTCCCTCTGACACTGTGCATTTTCATCAAACATCCAATTTGGAGCACAACTCAATTTGAGGCGGGGTGAGGAGGGAGAGATGAGGATGATGCGATACAAAGTTGTAGTTGAGACACCCAATAAATCACATGCTGCCGTCTCGTCTCTTCAGGGAGGCGATGCATGGATTATTCCAGGCTGTGCCAAGTTAAGTAGCTGCCAGTTGCCACCCCGCCCCGCCCCCCTTGTCATGTCACACAGTACATCCTCCAGAAGACAGGGTTTATAAATGCAAGAAAGCCGCTCCCTCCGCTTGACAAATGAGCTTTCAGGGCCTGTGTCGGGCGAATGGGAATGAAGATAAATGTGATATAATGGTTGGATAACAACCTGCTAGCCCTGACAGACACCATCAGTTCCACCATTCTAAATGGGAGGGACAGTCACTAAAACAACGGAGCTGAGGCTTGTCTCCTATTCTCACTTTCCTTCCTCCTCCTCCTCTCTGTCTTTGGTTGTTTCTTTATTTGTTTCCTCTTATCTTTCTGTTAGAAAGGTTGCAAGAAGTAGACTATAGAGAGTTGTCATCTGCAAAAAACCTTGGAGAACGAGGTCACCCACGATTCCCCTATGATGATGAAACACTTGAACTAAAGAAAAATCTTCTGTGGCAAATCGTTATTGTCCCTGACAAAACTTGAATCCTGATTGTGTGCCTCTAGTCCAGAATGTTCCAACCTGCACACAGTTGGCATAACAAAACAAAATGGAGTCCCCTGGGGTTTGACTACACTCTAAAAATTAGGGGTTCAACCAGGATTCTTCTAAGATCCTCAAAGTTCTTCGAAGAACCTTAAGGTTCTTGGCACTGAAGATTTCCCCCAAAAGGTTCTTCCAAGAACCCCATAGGAGGTGGGGTTCATCGAGGAACCTTCTTAGTTGGTGTGGGTTCTAGCAGAAACCTAACTGCCCAACTGAAACATTTGGATTTGAATTTGAAAGGACAGCAGATGCAGGCACTTAACTGAAAAATGTAAAGGTCTCAATTTAAGGTAAGGTTAGTCCCTTGTGTGTTCTAAATTGATATTGTTTTACAATACCATCTATCTTTTCATATTTGTGCAAATCTTTCTAAAACAGAACATTTACAAAATTCTATGGATATCAATCAACAAAGAGGTAAGAATATGTAGGCTATAAGAATATGTTGAAGGCTAGCTGTATTGGGTGCAGATGACTGAACTGCCCTCTTTTGTGTCTGTGTCTGCAGGTATACAGACGAGGAGGCATACAAAGGTATGTCAATTTGTATTGGTATGTTATGCAGATCACATTTACCATCCTCCTCCCTTACCCCTTCATTGAATATCCCATAGGCCTCTACATTATGGACAAGGTATAAGTATGAAAACCATTATCAAAACAGTTTTTTTCATTCACATTTACCACAAAAACCAAGGTATGTATCCTGTCTTGTTTTGTTAATCATCTGTATAATTTTAAAAAATGTGGATTTAGACATCACCCTCCCTACACCCTGTTCGATCATCATGCACTGCAAAATCATTCTGGCTATGGATACGGAGAACATCAACACATTAACATCAACACACCAGAGGATATACCCATTTTTTTATCCTGCTTTGCCACTAAAATCATAATAAACACTGACAACTAAAATATTGTGTTATTGTTATGCATATTATTATTATTATTATTAATAATAATAATAATAATAATAGGGGAGGGGGGGGTAGTTAAAATGAACCCCAAAAGGTTCTTCAAAAGGTTATTCGAGGATCCATTAAAGGGTTCTTCGAAGAACTTATAGGGGTTCCCCCACAGTTTCAATTTGAAGAACCCCTAAAGGATACTCCAGGAACGTTTTATTTTTAGCGTGTAGCACCAAATCACACCTCATTTCTGGTGTTTGTGAGGCCATACCTACAGCCAGCTGCTGACAGAGAATCATCAAGAGAGGGAGGGAGAGAAAGAGAGAGAGAGCGTGAAAGAGAGTGTGAAAGAGCGAAGCAGAGACAGTGAATGAGAGAGAATGGAAGAATCTAACTGGCATCTGTGCTCTGTGCCTGCCTGACAACAGACAGAAGTAAAGGAAGGTTAAGGTAATGTGGAGAAGGGGGAAAAAGAACATAATGGGATTCTGGTGTTTTCATTTGGTGGTGACAAGGTGGGCCTGATTTGTATTCACACACAGCAAGTTAAGAGAGGCGCAGGAGATGGGCAAAGATGGGGCCTGATGACCTGCCAGAGTGTGTGTGTCTGACAGAGCCTCTGGCAAACCTCTCCTGAGGCTCTACTTCTCATCATGTTGTGTACAAGAAGAGAAGTTAAAGAAGAAAATAGGAATTTGAGGCAGCCATATATTAAAAAAAATATATATAAATACAAAGATTCATATATACCCTCTGTGTTAGGGCACAGGGTGACCTGTCAGATTGGATGATTGCAGTAGAGAGAGTCACGAGTTTTAACTTCCTCTGCATCCACATCCCTGAGGACTTGACATGGACCAACACCACCACCACCACTCTTGTCAAGAGGGCGCAAAAGCGTCTCTACTTCCTAAGGCAGCTGAAGAAATTCGGCAGGCCACCCTGGGTAGTTTCCAAATACTCCCGCTGCACCATTGAGAGCGTCCTAACCGGTTGCATCACGGCCTGGTACGGGTATTGCTACAACCACGACCGCAAGGGACTGTGCTCCCACCCATCCAGGACATCTACTCGAAGCTGTTCTCTCCCTTATCGTCGGGCAGAATGGTATCGGAGCATGAGGTCTGATACCAACAGGCTCAGAGACAATTTCTATCTACAAGCTATCAGACTTCTGAACACTTGAACTGAACTGACCACCTACTCTGATTCTCCGCACCTTAGCACACATGCCCTCACTCATGCACACACCCACACAGACACACACATATTCATGCTACACACACATCACAACTGCTGCTACCAGACTCTTATTTACTAATGCTAATACTGCTCAATTCAAACACTTGCCCCCCAGTCCCCCCTTCCCCCAAAACACATGTAAATATTGGAATATAAATGGTGCCTTCCTGTATTATACTTATGCTAACATGTATTGTTCTATTCTACTACCATTTACTTTATGTTTGTATTCTTATCTTTTATTATTTATTAATGTTGTTGCATTGTCGAGAATAAACCTGCAAGTTAGCATTTCGTTGGACGATGTATACCATGCATATCCCGTACATACGACTAATAATTCTTCAAACTGAAACTTGGAAGTGGAGACAGGACTCTAAGACAGAGGCTGAAGCTGAGGGCTTTAACTCAGGGATATACAGTGTATTTGACTATCTCCTTAATGATGACTGCACAGCAGTGGAGGCTGCTGAGGGGAGAACGGCTCATAATAATGGCCGGAACGGAGCAAATGGAATGGCATCAAACACCTGGAAATGTATATTTGATACCATTCCACTGACTCCGCTCCAGTCACTACCCCGAGCCCGTTCTCCCCAATTAAGGTGCCACCAACCTCCTGCGCTGCACAGGTCACAAGGATTACCACCTCAGTTCTAACTCAACCTCTCAACACCTCCATCTATCTAGGGCAGTGACTTCAAGTCCAAGGCATTTTTTGTTTATAATTTTGTAATTCATACAATGATTATCTAGGGATCTGAGATACACTACATGACAAAGTATGTGGACACCGACCATCTCATTCCAAAATCATGCGCATTAATATGGAGTCGGTTCCCCCTTTGCTGCTATAACAGCCTACACTCTTCTGGGAAGGCTTTCCACTAAATGTTGGAACATTGCTGCGGGGACATGCTTCCATTCAGCCACAAGAGCATTAGTGAGGTCGGGCACTGATGTTGGGCGATTAGGCCTGGCTCGCAGTCGGCATTCCACATTGACCTCGACAAACCATTTCTGTATGGACCTCGCTTTGTGCACGGAGGCATTGTCATGCTGAAACAGGAAAGGGCCTTCCCCCAAACTGTTGCCACAAAGATGGAAGCACAGAATTGTCTAGAACGTTATTGTACGCTGCAGCGTTAAGATTTCCCTTCACTGAAACTAAGGGGCCTAGCCCGAACCATGAAAAACAGCCCCAGACCATTATTCCTCCTCCACCAAATTTTACAGTTGGCACTATGCATTCGTGCAGGTAGCGTTTTCCTGGCATCCGCCATACCCAGATTCGTCCGTCGGACTGCCAGATGGTGAAGCGTGGTTCATCATTCCAGAGAACGCGTTTCCACTGCTCCAGAGTCCAATGGCGGCAAGCTTTACACCACTCCAGCCGAGGCTTGGCATTGCGCATGGTGCTCTTAGGCTTGTGTGCGGATGCTCGGCCATGGAAACCCATTTCATGAAGCTCCCGACGAACAGTTATCGTGCTGACGTTGCTTCCAGAGGCAGTTTGAAACTCGGTAGTGAGTGTTGCAACCGAGATCCTGTTCTGTGCAATCCTGTTCTGTGAGCTTATGTGGCCTACCACTTTGCGGCTGAGCCGTTGTTGCTCCTAGACATTTCCACTTCACAATAACATCACTTACAAATTTTACGAACTGACTTGTTGGAAAGGTGGCATCCTATGACTCTTCAGTAAGGCCATTCTACTGCCAATATTTGTCTATGGAGATTGCAGTTCTGTGTTCTCGATTTTATACACCTGTCAGCAACGGGTGTGGCTGAAATAGCCGAATCCACTAATTTGAAGAGGTGTCCACATAGTTTTGAAGGGGTGTCCACATATTCCATCTGTAATCAACTCCAAATATGCATCGTGGGTAGAAGACAGAATGACACGTGGAAACAGTTGCGTAATCTGGAAGATGTTTTGTTACTTGTCGGTGTCTCTCTGGGCTGCCCTGGGTTAGGCCTTTTATGAGTAAGCCGGGAGATTACTTCCTTTGAATCACGTAACGTGTACCCAGAATGCAGCGGGGCACCATGGCTTCCCCTTTTAAAGTGCTCAAATCCCTGGTAGCAGGTTAAGGTTTAAAAGCAGCACTGACCTCACCGTTGACTGAACAAAAAGACAACAGAAAATGCTAACAGTGTTTCACAATACATGTAAAACTTGAAATGACATCTATCCAAAAGCCATGAATACTAAGGACCAGTACTAGTGGGGGTGGTGGAGGTGGTGGTAGGAGGCAGGAGAAGACTCCTACCACCAGGCAGGAGAAGACAGGGGAAACCTCCTCTCATGCCAACGTGAACAGCGAGCCCCAAAGGGACGGATTCCTTGGCAGTGAGCGATTAGGACTGGATCAACAGAGGAAATTGTGCCGCTCCTCATCGCTTTAAAGCCCAAATCCTCAGACAAAATTGAGGGAGTCTGGGGCCACGTGGGGAAAATAGCTAAGTCAATAGCCAATAATGAGATCTTATTTACCCAGCTGGTGGAGAAATGCTAAGACGCCCAAGGACCCCAAGTAACCCAGCTGGGCCCGAGGCCCACAGCCAAAATCACATTCTAACCCAGCACATATTTGTCTGTGAAATTTTCAGGCAATTAAGTAAACAAGCATGCTGCATTTGGACTGTGACGCATGCAAGAGAAAGAAAGAAAGAAAGAAAGAAAGAAAGAAAGAAAGAAAGAAAGAAAGAAAGAAAGAAAGAAAGAAAGATCAAGACAGAAGGAAAAAGAAGATGTGAGACGTACTATTTCTCCCAGGGAGGCACCAAGCATGTGAGTGACAGGTGCCATCTGTGGGGCTGAGAGGACTCCGTGGGCTCCGAGCATGGACTTTGTGCTTTCATAAGTGACGAAGAACGCAGCAGCTGAAACCAAGCAGAACCGTCACAGTTTAGGAACCATTAGTCAACCTGCATACAGCAATTAATAACACTGACTACGGACAAGGGAGATGGAGAGAGACAGGGTGGGTAGAGTGAGAAAGCGTGAGGGGTTGGAAGAAGGGTAGAGAGAGAGAGGGTTGGAGGGAGGGGAGAAGGAGTGAAGGAGAGAGGAGAGAGTGAGAGAGTGAGAGAGTGAGAGAGAGGGTGAGTAGAGTAAGATAGTGAGAGAGAGGGTGGGTAGCGTGAGAGAGAAAAAGTGGGGAGAGAGAGAGATAGAGAGTTGGGGAAGGAGAGAGAGAGGCTATACAGACACGCCTGGTGCCCAAATTGATGACGTATGTCGCGCAGCTGAGAGTCGAGTGGAGATGAACGGATTCATTTCAGTCAGTCGTACTGATGAGCCAATCCCTGCTAGCTAGTTTATGCTTGTGGCTCGAAACTTCAGCGAGAATTTGAGACTTGTCTGTCGAAATTGGGAATTGGGAGAGTGTTCAGAATCATTTCGTATTATTTTTTTTAATTTAGACATTAATACTGTAAGCCTAGTAGTACGTTTTCGGCAAAAATCACTAGCTACAATAAATGTGCTTTAACTGTCACCCTGGCCTGATATTGGCTACACTAGCTAGCTTCATGGACAAAACATACTGATGCAATGGTAGCTAAAATGGTGTGAGGTCTGTCCGTAATAAAGCGCTGCTCTGCTTTCTTGACATCACAATCAACTAAACAAGTCCTACAGGCCCTAATTGTATCACACCTGGACTACTGCCCAGTTATATGGTCAAGTGCCACAAAGAAGAACAAAGGCAAATTACAGTTAGCCCAGAACAGAGCAGCTGGCCCTTAAATGTACACAGAGGGCTAATATCAATAACATGCATGTCAATCTCTCCTGGCTCAAAGTAGAGGAGAGATTGACTGTATCACGACTTTTCTTTGTGAGAGGTATTGACATGTTGAAAGCGCCGAACTGTCTGTTCAAACAGCTAACACACAGCTCAGACACCCATACATATCCCACAAGACATGCCACCAGGGGTCTCTTCACAGTCTCCAAGTCCAGAACTGACTCTGGGAAACACAGTACTACAACTCTATTCCACATCAAGTAACTCAAGCGAGCACTAAAATCTGATTTTAAAAAACTGATAAAACAACACCTCACGGTACAACGCGGACTGTGAAAACACACACACACACTAGCACATGGACTCCACAAACACACACACACACACAATGTAATGTTGTGTTATTGTACATTTTATATTGTAAATGTGTAATATTACAGTAATAATGTAATAATATCTTGTATGACGCATTGTTTTATTTATGATGTAGACTGTTGTTGTGTTTTGTTGTGATGTAATTGTTTTAACCCTGTTCGGACCCTAGGAAGATTAGCTTCTGCCTTGGCATGGGGATCCTAATAAATACTAATACTAACGCTCCTTTCCTCTCCTTATGGGACAGCAGTGCTCGGCAAGCAGGAGCGAAGGACACTGTGCCCTGTGTTGTTGTGTTGCCAGCTTGCAACGCAAACTCTGCCCATTGAGAAGTAGACTGTATCACGGTGACATGATTACTACCAATATTACAAGTTATTTTTCGTGTAGACTGCTATACTACTCAAAATAAAGTCAAGTTGGATGATTTTTTTTTTTTCCACCTTCGCTACTGCCGGAGACATGTGATACAGCTGCCCTGTGGGAAGCAACTCAGGTCAGCAAGCACTGGTCATTCGCACCGGATTGTCTTAACGTTAGCTAATTAGCATGTCACGGTGACATCCAGATGGTGACCAATACTACAAGTTTAGTTATTTCTCCCTGTCCATCAAAATAAACATAACATTATTTTACAAGTTTTAACTAGCACCATGCTGCTGTTGTTGCCAGCTAGCCAGCATAAACTAGCTAGTTAGGACGGGCTCATCAGGACGGTTGACTGAACCGAATCCATCCGTCTCCACTCGACTCTCAGCTGCGAGACATACGTCATCAATTTGGGCACCAGTGGTGTCCGTATATAGCCTTTCCTATCTCATTAATATGTTTGTGAGCTGCTCTCATTTTATTATTCAAATTATTTAATCAATCAACAGTGTGGGCAAACATAGGCTGGTCGGAAAAGGAAAACACTAACATTTATTTATATATTTTTTTATGTATTTATTTATTTAAGCGGTTCTTTGAATAAATTACACTTGAAACATGAATAAACTAGCCCATCAGATGCTCTCCATGGGTAGGCTTTATTATGGTGTGTCAACAGGTAGTCTTTCTGTGGGGTCTTAGTGGTGCCAGAGACTAATAATAAGTGACTCACCATTGGGGAACGAGCCGATGGCTGCAGATGGGACCCCTGCATAGATGCCCCGGAAACCCCCAGCCTTAGCGAAGCCCTGCTGGCTCTGCAGTCTGGTCTTAATAGTGTCCAGGGGGAAGAGGGTGAGGTCCACACACATCCCAGCACAGCCCCCCGCCTAGCATGTAGGGAGAGACACACACTCTTCAGGCAACTCAAACACACTGCATAGCCCCCCACCTAGCATGTAGGGAACAAACACAGTCATCATCAGGCAACTCAAAAACACTGCATAGCCCCCCGCCTAGCAGAGAGAGATTACACACAGAGACAAACACTCATCCGGGAAACTCAACTCACATAAACATTTTAATACACGTGCAATGTGCACGCACGCACGCACGCACGCACGCACGCACGCACGCACGCACGCACGCACGCACGCACGCACGCACGCACGCACGCACGCACGCACGCACGCACGCACGCACGCACGCACGCACGCACGCACGCACGCACACGCACACACACACACACACACACACACACACACACACACACACCTCTGAGTGACTTAAGGGGTATTCTGACAGCACAGTGATAATGAATTCAACAAAGAGCCATTGTTTTTGCTCCCATACTGAGCCATCAACATAACAAACATGTCCTTGAACAGTTGGATACTTTACTTTTTATTGTCTTTCCCTACTTTTACCCCATTTGGAAATAATTAGGAATGAGACCATTCTGAATGTGTTCCATGATGCTGGTACTAACTCAAATAATTCTGGTTGAGCAATAAGCTCACCATGACATTCTCTTTGGGTACTGGATACTGTCCAACCCCTTTGGTCCAGTGCAACGTTTACACCTGTAAAGGAAGTAATTTGGTGGACCACAGTCCTGTGATGAGTTACCTTGTCTGACCTGGAGATTTGCATTCGTTTCCTGAGCAAATTCCAAGACTTTAGCTCAGCGGGCTAGCACAGTACTGTGGTCTGCAGACGACTCAGATTCTAACCCAGATGGTCATACAATACACACATTTAGGAATAAGTTCATAATGCACTTTATATGAAGTTGCTCTTATACCTGTGTAGTAACACAGTAATTACTCAGTATACAACTTTTGTTGTTACATAGCCTAGTATTTGCTTTGTAATAGCATAGTAGCTAATGAGGTGAAGTGGCTGTTGTATTTCTTAGTCATATTCCCTTCTGAAATAGGTGCACACTTTGCATTGGTGCAAAGGAAATAAGGCTCTAAAAGTTTATCAATGTTGACTATGGGAATGGGTGAGACAGATCATACGGTCCTTATCAAACTCACTCATGATAACCACTGACAATCTTTACCATAATATAGCACACTTGCAGAATGACACACAACACTGCATAAAATAACACACTTGAATAGGTCAAGTGGTGTTGTAGCTGAGAACTTTCAACAAGTTAGTGGTGTTGCCAATGCTTCCTAATCCATTCCTGACCTTCCAAGTGAGGGTGACAGTTCATTGTGAGCCAAACCTTTGATATCAGACTAGTGACAGTTAGCAAGCAACATTATCGTGAGCACTTGTTTAGGCAATGATGCAAAATCGTTTAGGCTGATAAATCAGTCGAAATACAGACAAATTGCTTGCTTGCAAGTTAGCTTAATCAATTTTGCAAGCAAAATAAGAAGACCATTACATGATGGAGGAAATTAAAACATTACCACTAGCGAAGCAGTGAATTCTCTTTTTTCCATGTTAGCTGTTCAAAGTCTTCTATTGTCAGCTTTCACGTCGCCGTTCTGAGTATGAATGAGTACTATGGAGCATGTTTGACACTTCACTGCAGTCAAAATTTGCTTATCAAGGACGCTGACATCTTTGTTGAATGTACTTCCGCGTGACGTCCATAATATGAGTCACGGGAGGAGCACCAGAAATCTCTTATTCGGTGGAGTTTATCGGCGGTTGGCATCCAACATTATGGTGCAATACCCCCACCCACTGTACTGGAGTGTGGACCAGAGACAGGGAGGAACTACTATAAATCCTAACTGCCAGCCCCGTTTCTCTTAAAAAATATAACAAAATATTTAAGACTGTATCTAATGATGCTCTTTAAATTAAATTCCTGTATCCCCTTCTCCCTCATACTAGATCCAGTGGAGGCTGCTGAGGGGAGGACGACTCATAATAATAGCCGTAATGGAGTGAATGGAATGCTATCAAATACATGGTTTTCATGTGTTTGATACCATTCCATTCACTGCATTAAACTCCATTCCAGCCATTATTAGGATCCGTCCTCCCCTCAGCAGCCTCCACTGACTGGATCTCAGACTTTCTCTTTCCTTCACTGCCCACACTGTATCAGTACATGCTTCACTGTCTGGCAGTAATCACACCTTCCTGTTGGATGCTTTCCTATCACATCTAATGTCTAATTCAACCGGCTGTGTCCACCCTTAGCCTCGTAAAGATGTCCTCCTCTCTTCTGTCTCTTCCTGCTGTCCTCCCCTCCCCAACTTTCCTCTGTACATGGAATAGATGCATGCCCTTAGTGTCTCTGTTTCACTGCTCCTGCCATCAACGCACCACCATCCATATCATTTCCTTAGCCTCTGCATTGCTCATTGGCTCCTCCACTTCCACCTCCTCTCTCCTAAGGGCATGTTTACATGCTAAATCTATTGCAGTGATTGTAATTTTGTATGAGCAGATTTGCCAAATTCGGAGACAACTCACTGGACACAGACGTCAGTCCAATGTCTAGTTTTGATTTACATTTGGTTGAGTTGTCAACTAACGTGAATTCAATGTGAAATGAACAAAACATTTCAACCTGTCATTGGATTTAGGTTAAAAGTTGGGTGAAAAAAAGACAAAATTCCCTTACATTGTTGACTTTTTGCAAATCCACGTTAAATCAATGTGATCACATATAATTTTTTGGCTGAAATGACGTGGAAACAACATTGCTTCAACCAGTTTTTACCCAGTGGGAAGGCTGACCATTCAAAATATTGAGTCTCTGACAACCTTAATTTGAGACATGAAAGGCATGTTTTAATGTGATTATGTAAATGTAAATGATTAGGGGTAAACTACAGAATGGAAGAATAAAAATGATTTGTGTGAAGAAGTTTAATGGGGGGGCGTGGACAAAACAGAAGGGCGGAGCGAGAGAAAGCGAGAGAGAGAGCAGAGAGCGAGAGAGAGAGAGAGAGAGAGAGAGAGAGAGCGAGGAGAGAGAGAGAGAGAGAGAGAGGAGAGAGAGAGCGACGCGAGAGAGAGAGAGAAGGAGAGAGCGAGCGCGGCTAGAGCGCGATAATCGCGCGCTCTATCTCTCTCTCGTCTATCGTCTATCTCTTAGACTCTCTCTCTATCTCTTTCTATCTCTCTCATCTCTCAATTGAATCCAATTCAATTCAATTCAAAGGGCTTTATTGGCATGGGAAACATATGTGTACTTTGCCAAAGCAGTGAAATAGGATACATAAAAAAAAGTCAAATATAAACAATCAAGACGATGAACAGTAAACATTACACTCACAAGTTTCAAAGGGATATGACATATTTCAAATGTCATATTATGGCAATGTACAGTGTTTATAATGATGAGCAAAAGTTAAAATACAAAAGGGAAAATAAACATAAATATGGTTGTGTATGGTGACAATGTGTTGTTTTCACTCGTTTTCTCCTATCTGGGAGAGAGAGAGAGAGAGAGGAGATAGAGGAGAGAGAGGAGAGAGAGACGCGAGAGAGAGAGGAGAGAGAGAGAGGAGAGAGAGAGGGGAGAGGAGAGAGAGAGAGAGAGAGAGAAGAGAAGATAAAGAAGCAGAGAGAGAGGAGAGAGAGAGAGGAGAAAAACGAGAGGAGGAGGGAGAGAGAAGAGACAAGGGGATGGAGAGATGAGCGAGGAGAGAGCAGAAGAGAGAGAGAGAGAGAGAGAGAGAGAGAGGAGAGAGAGAGAGAGAGAGAGACGAGAAACGAGACTAGAGAGAAAGAGTAGGGATAGAGAATAGATGAGCTAGAGAGCTAGATCTGATATGCTATCGAGAGCTCTCGCTCTCTCTCTCTCTCTCTCTCTCTCTCTCTCTCTCTCTCTCTCTCTCTCTCTCTCTCTCTCTCTCACACACACACACACACACACACACACACACACACACTCCCTTGTCCTGTGACATTATAAAGATGTAGGGCATTTATTGTGGTCTTGTGCCCTGTTCTCTCCTGCCATAGCATTCTGCTGTGCTGTGTCCATGTCGGTGTCCAGGTGAGCGCGTTCCTTTGGCACGCCAGCTTGGTTATTTATGGGCTCCTGTCACCCAGGCAGTGCCTCCTATTAGGTGGGGGCAGAAGAAGGGCTACAACCCTTTACTCAGCTTGGCCCCAATGATGTCTGGGCCCAGCACACTCGGTTTGAAGCTCCATGCCTAACATCCATCTTGTTGATGTGTCGCTCAGAGTGATCCCATTGGGCGAGAGCTCTAGCAATGGCAGAAATGGACTTCTATCACTACTGCTCGGATCTGTAATAGGACGGACAGAAGCCATTCTCTTCTATTTTTCCCCCCTTTCTCTCATGCTCTTCATTAGATGGGGAGAGGGTTTCTTAGATAAACTCTAATCTGGTAGAAAGAGGGTTGTATACAGTAGCTGTTTGTTTTTATTTAGGCTGCTGTGGTCATTTACTGTGGACACTAGCATTCCCTTGTAATATTCAGTAGATTTTAAAATACCTCTGGAATAACATTTGCATAATGCTATATATTAGGCTTATATGGATTATTAATTCTGTCTGGGGTTTTAAACTAGGCCTACAGTCAATAGGCCTATGTTCGCCTTCATTCCAACTGCGGAAGGGACCTTGTAGCAGTCGTAGGGCAATGAAGTAGCAGGAGGCAGGTAGAGGTGCAAATAGGTTGAAAACAGTAAAGGAAATGCAACAACACATTAAGTCTAATCTAGCGAAATGAAATGCCTAATGTTGGAATAAACGGGAATGGGATGAAATAATATAACGCTTGAAATTATGGATGGAATATACACTGAGTATACCAAACATTAAGAACACCATCCTAATATTGAGTTGCACGACATCAATAAGGGATCATAGCTTTCAGCTAGATTCACCTGGTCAGTCTATGTCATGGAAAGAGTA